ACACACTTAAAAGCAACACATTTCACTGTGTGTTAGTTTCAGTGTCAGTATTTTAAACGTGTAAATTAGAGTAGAAGCACTAGGAAAATAGGAGCTTTCTTTTCTTCAAAGCTGTCCAGAACCTACCCAAGGCCAGAGCATTAAGCAGGAGCTCAGAAAGAACAGATGTGGTCATAAAAAATAGTAGACGTTGGAAATAATTTTTATCATTGGTCATCAAATATATAACAGAGATTTTGATTCTCAGCCCTAGATACCCTAGGAATGGTTTGTATTTGAAGCCTGATATTTTTAAGTCAATTCCTAGGTTGCAAAAAACAAATAAACAAAAAAACAAAACCCACCCAATCAATTCCAAGAGGTCTGAAATAAGATGACCCAACAAAACTTCCTCTGACTCTAAACTTTCTGATTTTTCTATTTTTTCATACCAATTTCAGTTTAAGGATGGTGGAGGATTAAGGGATAGATCAGCTTAATGTGATTAAGTGTTCATGCAAAGTTATGACCATTTAGTTGGATAACACTTCTCTTAGTTCAAGTGATCAATATAAGCAGTTGAATATAGAATCTCAGGAGAATAATATCCTATGGATAGTTGATTTTGGTGAGCACAGTCTGACATTGAGTCAACATTTACAAATAATCTGTTGAATGAGTAAATAAATTAAATGCAAATTGGAAAATCTCTAGTAAATGCATCTTAAGCCATACCCTTTCAGTACTTTTATGTAACTATTTACTTTTAAGAAGAATTGGGAGATCCACTTACAATATTCTTTGAAAGCTATGTTTATTCATATTTTATTTTTGAAAAATTAATCAATTTGTGAGATACTATTTAGAAAGCAGTTATGAAATGCCACCTTGTGACCAAAGGCAGAAATACAACATAAATTTGAAGTGGCTAAAGAGAAAGGGTGTCTCCTCCAGGACCCACAGAATTTTAACACTTAGATTAGGTTCTTCTCAGAAGTAAGATGAAACATAATGCAAACAAGGAAGAGCCAATAGCCCCTATCTTTGCTAAAGACAAAATAGGAACAGAATTATACTATTTTCACCTTTTTAATGATTTATAATTAAGCCTTTCAATTTCTCATTGAAAAGTCTAAACTAGAAATGCATGTTAGGACAAAGAAAGTAAACATTTTCTCTAATACCATGTAGAAATAGTCACCTCAAATGTTTGTTGCTTTTTTTTCATAAAGTAGTATGTCAGGAGCAGCTTTCCTTATATTTCTACAACAAAATTTGAAATTTATGACAGTAAGATAGTTTTATGATTTCAAATATTTTGGTAGGTTAAAAAATGGAAATGAGTATTTGATCATTGTATAATTGAAACACAAGCACAAAATTTGTAAGTCTACAACTGTACCTCATGGTCTCACTAATAAAAAATGGAAATGAGGAGGAAATTATTTTTCTCATACTACAATACTGAAACAACAGCTAAGTATTAAATGAGGTAAATATATAGAATTCAACTTCTTTAAATAATTTCAAATGAATGGCAATGCTTTATTATATACAATTTACCTATTTTATATGAAGAAATTTATAAAAGGAACAAAGTTTTGCTTTAGAAAGGTGATGTTGGGCCAAGGAAACACAGATATTTTTAGCACCCATTTGGGTATCATCACAACATTACATGATGGTGATGATTCCAATAATGATTGTAATAACACCAGTGATAAGGATGTTCAAAGATCTACCATTCTCTGAATATCTGTGGTGTGCCATGAATTTCATATAGCTTTCATCATTTACTTTGTACAATTTTTGACTGTTAATCTAACTAATGTATTTACTATCGTTCCAGCCCATGTATTTACTAGATTTGTAAATTTATAAGAATTTTAACATAAGTCTCCAATCACATTTTATTCACACCATTCACAAAGAGCAGTGTGTGCTAAAGATAACATTGAATGTTGTTTTTCAGATTATATTCCTTTTGGGGGAAAATTCTAAATTTTTTTTCACTTTTTTAGAATTTTTCTTTTTCTTTTTTTTTTTTTAATTTTTATTAGTGAAACACCATGAGGTACAGTTGCAGACTTACAAATTTTTGTGCTTGAGTTTCAGTTATACAATGATGGAAAATGGGCACTGGTGGAGGAATGGGTAATTGAAAAATTCTAAATTTTTTCATAAGAACTTAAGTGAAATACAGAACATGATTTTTCCTCACAAATATTTATGTGCATAATGGCATAAAACTCTGTGGTATGTACTTTTATCATAAACCATTTTAGGCCTTGTGAACTTTTGTCAATTTTCTTCTTTTTATTGAATCACCATGAGATCCACAGTTATTGGAAAGAACCACTTACTTTGCACAAGTTTTAAAGATTATATAGTTTTATTTTTCAGATGAATGAAACAATTTGGCCTTATATACTTATAAGACAGAAATTAAATTCTGGCCAAGATTTCCCTTATACTGTCTAATATTTTTAGTAATGGGTTTTCAGACCTTCAGACCTAGAATTATCAAATTAGTAATATGAATTTTTCTCACTGATTGTTACAAACGTTCACAGTATGTGATCTGTACCCAACCAAAATCTATTAAGCATTCTCTCAATACTCCCTATGATGATAATAATGATGATGATGATGATGATGAATACAATGGCAGTGGTAGAAAAAAATTCTCTTTGATCTTAAGAGTTTTGATTGGTGACCATGGATGTCTGGTCATTAAGATGACAGGTGTCCTCCAAGAAAGAAGATAAGTGGTTTCTGCACAGACACATATACTATAAAAATAATTAAGGTTGGAACTCAAGTTTATCTGGACTTATTGGACTTATCTGGCCATGGAAGTCCATCCCCTTAACCATTTTGCTCTCCCAAACTCAATGATTTTATTTCATCTTATCCTAATTATCCAACTAATCCTTTAGGATGTCAAAAAAGTGGCAATTATTCTTAATGACAGGCCTAAACAGTGCAGTGTTGCAAAGGCACTGATTCCTCTAACACTAATGTATTCAAAATTATCTTCACACCTAAATTGCACTGGACTTCAAATCATAGGCTGGGGCTGCAGTGCGTGGAGTTATTCAAATAAGAAGCAAAACCTATTTTATTCTGAAATGTAGGACCATGTGCCTATGAAAGCTTCTCCATCTGGAATCTTTTGTGTCTGTTGTCCTAGGCTGACACAGAGATCAGAAGCACTTCACTAGACGTAAAAATCTAAAATTGCCAGAAAACTATCAAAACAGGCCATGGGAAGGAGACTTGCTGGACCCATGTGGGAGTCTGTACAAGGTGGGTAGGAGAACTATGGGTGAGATCATGTCTCCAGTTTAACCCCAGTTGGGAGTGAAAAGAACACTTCATTGAACTTTGAGAGAAGAACCATCCCTTCTGCTCCAGCTACAAGATCCCCCAGTCAGGCCCAAGTCAGTTATCTTCTTGATCAGACTCTCCCAACCAAGCTTTGGACTTTATCTCCTGCCTTATAAAATATTCCCACCCCAAGAGAGTAAGGGAAAGGACAAAGCTGTGACCTGAAATGTGGGTAACTATCATCTTCTAGAGATGTCTCCAGATGCTTGCTGCATTCTGGGGCCAAAAAAAATTAAGACCACAGTGGAGAGGAGTGGGGCTGGAAAAAGGCTTTCTACATGCTGAGAGCTATCTCTCAGAACAACAGGAGAATGGATTAATCTGCCTCATGAAACTGGCACCCACATCTCATTCCTGCTGGAATCTGCCCAGCTTCATGCTGGAATATAACCTTGCAGAATGGCCAGAAAACATGAGGATTTCCCAAATATTATTATTCAGTGAAAAATTAAAACAAAGTTGAAGGCCACAGGTGTGAGACAAATTTTCAGCTGATCAAAAAATAGAGAAGTTAAATGTATTTTACTCATATTGGAAAAAGTGAATGTATAGCCAAACATGTTCAGGAAAAAATGCAATTTATAGTACGTATGTGGTGAAGAAAAAAACTGCATTTTATTTTACATTCTCTCCCTTGACTTTTTATCTTTTCTATGTCATCTTTTATATCTTGTCAAAACTGTATTTTTCCTTTAAAAGTTCACTTAAAAAATAATTGATAGGGGTTGGATCAATGGCACAGCAGATAGGACATTTGCCTTGCACAAGGCTGACCCTGGTTCAATTGCCAGCATCCCATATGGTCCCCTGAGCACCACCAGGGGTAATTCCTGAGTGCAGAGCCAGGAGTAACCCCTATGCATTGCCGGGTGTGACCCAAAAAGCTAATAAAATAAAATGGAATCTTAAAAATATATAAAAAATAAATGCTATTATAAGGCTCTATTTCTGAATCATGCAAACCAATGTTACCCAAACTATCCTATGTTCTACCTGTGTTGATTCACTAGAAAGCAGAAAGAAGAATGCAACCCACTGGACCCCAGGAAACTGGCATTTGGCACTCAGGGACTACAGTGCTCTTATGGCAGTGGGGGTCAGCCTGGAGCCAAAGATCCAGCAGAAGAGGCAGCAGTGCTTAGCAGGCATTATGTTCCCCAGGCGAGAGAGGGATGGAGCCCAACAGAGGACTGGCATATGGAAAGCCCCATCTTCCTCCCTGACTACTTATTACCTCAGTGAAGGTTCAATCATGCCAGGACCCTCCATCAAAAAATTGCTCTGTAGATATTGAATGTACTGTTTGCACAGATGGAAACAAGAACTCGTAAAGCACAGCTCATAATTTTCAGTGGCCTTGAGACAGTATTTCCCCCATGAATAATCAAGTCTTAAAACAGATGTATCAGTAATAATTGCCAGTTATATTCCCCTAATTAAGCAATCAAGAGGTAATATGAAGTTTATATTTGAACTGTTTTTTAACCAAGAGTTTAGGTGGCCCCGTTGCCCTTATAAGCTGGTTGCACATTACTTGATTCTAATTTATTAAAAAGTCCTTAAGTCATAGTGGTGTGACGTGATCATTAAAAATACAAATAGGCAAAGAGAAAAAATACACCACTCAGAAAAAAAGTTAAGCTTTTTTTATATACATATGCATGTATACACATCCACACATGTGCACACATACACACGCAATTAGGAATTTTATACTATATGTAAGCTGATGCTAAATATGCTGCTTTATAACCTGCTATTCTATTTTATGACATGAAATGAACATATTTTCATGCATCTGTGTGAAACTTCCTAACTGAAAACTAGACACAAACAATGATTTAAAACACAAACTTCAATGAGATGTTGGTAATAAGAAAACTGCCTTAAACAAAATTCTACAAGATGATTAAAAGTAAAAGGTAGGTGAAAAGTACAGCAGAAAATGCTAATAGAAAGAAATCAGGGGCCAAATTTTAGTATCATACAAAAAAAGGATTCAAGGCCTAAAGCACACAGGATAAGGACGGTTGCGTGAGTGTCTTTGCTTCCAATGCATCATCACAAACTTGTTCCTCACTCTTCTTATCTCTTCCCTAAGCCTTTCCAACTCATCTACCCCTCTTATTATTTCTTCAGGGTCCAAATGCCTAACTGGGGTGTTATCTTTAAATTCCTGGTCTGGTTGGGTCAGCCCTCCTCTAAGGCTTCTTTCTGCATCCTGGCTTACACCTTCTTGGGAAGGTTGAGGATTTTCTTCCACCACCTGTGGTACATCAACTGAAGGATGGTCTTCTTCAGCGTTTTGCATGTTCTGTGATTTTCCTTCATTTTCTTCACAAGACGTTTGCATTCTGAGTGTTGTTCTTATTTCCTTTTTGAATGAATTAATCCTAAGAAAAACCAAGGAAACAATAAGACTTGATGCCAGGCAAAAACCCAGCAGAAGTTCCCATAGAGACTGGACTTTTCTCGTTCCTTGTCCAAGTTTTCCAAGTAAAGAAAGCTGGATTCTCCGGCTGCTAACTCTCCTGACTCCACCCCTTCCTCCACCTCCCTTCCCTCCCCCCACCTCCATTCCCTGCCCCCTCTTTCCAGCTCCATCTTTTCTAGCTCCAGCCCACCATTTCCCATCAGGCCCTGCTACCAGCCTCTCGTAGCCCAGAAAAGGGAGCAGTGTGGAACAATTAACTCTTCCCTCGCCTCTTGTCTCCAACACTCCCGCCCTTTTCGACTTTCCCAAGTTTTCACAAACTACAGCCTCTCACCTGAGACCAACTGGTCCAGTCTCTGGCGTCCCCATCTCCCTCCCAAGTCTCCCCAAACTCCCACCCCCACCCATTTCCGCTTCTGTCTCTGCACAGGTCTCTGAGCGCTCTGGCTCTGGCTCTCCGGATAGGGAGAAGCTGCAGTGACCAGGGAGAGAGAGTGCTTTGGTGTTTTCCACACTCCCGCCCCCACCCCAAGGGAACTGATGCAGTTACACCCTTACACTGACCTGAAAGGATCCGGAGGATTTTCCTCCCTCTTCCCTTACTCGATTTGTGTCGCTCCCAAAGAACCAAAAGTCCTGCAGACCGACCAACAGGAGTGCTTGGGTGAGCAAGATAGTACCTGAATCACAAGTCCCCTTCAGGAGTCAAAGCCTTGTTTGGAGAGAGTTTGTCCACTTCTTCATCCTCATCCTGCTTTTAAACTAATCCCGCCTTCCCTCCCCTGTACTCACCGGTTCCCTGAAACCAGAGTGGGAAACCATGCAAGTTATTTCTGAATTATTTCACTCTCCCGGGACGGGCGATTGGCTAGCATTCTCTCCCTCTCCACCTCTCTTCCAACCCCCTTACACACAAACATCCTAAAATTTCCTGCACAAAAATAAGAGTTTGGCGATAGGATAGTATTTAGAAAGCAGCAGTCACCTTGCTAGATTTCTGTTCTCTGACTCCTTATTCTCAGAGCCCTAAGGCAGAGCTAACTTTTATACTGACCTGAAAGGATCCGAGACACTTTTTCCCTCCGGCAATAGGGAGCTGCTTCAGGGAAACAGGCCCTGGACTCTAAGGACTTCTGCACACGTCGACTCCTGGTCACGTGAGGGTAGCGTCATCAATGAGCTCGCGTCCTCAAATACCCCTCCCATTTAACACTGCAGCCCGCTACCTACATTCCCTCCACTTGATACTATCGATCTTCTTTCTTATTTGCCAATCAGAAACAATAAAAGTGATTATCGTTTCTGTGCAGTTTTTATTTGTTTTTCCTAGATTACCAAGAAAAGGGTCAGTTAATCTATGATTTCTTCTTTTGCGAAATCTTACTCTAAGTTGTCCTTCCCCGCTTCCTCCCCAGAAACCCAACAAACGCACTATTTCCCCAGGATTCCTAGCTTGCAAGCATTCAAACTGGCGGGCAAAAGAGGTGGGTGGGTGAGGGTGGAGGGAGGGGTTAGAAAAGAATCCAGGAATGAAGAGGTGGGTCTTTTCTCCCTCTTTTGTGTTCAGTATTTCAGACAATCTATTCTAAAAATGATACTAAACCCGATATGCCATGTAAGCAATGTTTGACACAAATGGAGACCAAGTTACATCTATTTTGGAAAAGTTTTCAAATGGCTACACAGGAAACGACAGTTTTCACAACAAAGGATGTAGCAACTATTCTTTAATCTTTCTAAAACAGCGCATTTAAAAGTTGATTCTCAAATTAATCTATGAAAAGAGACCCAGTTTTCTCTTGCTAGTAATTGTATGTAAACAATCCACTATTTTTTGATACCTTTCACTTCGTTTTCAATGAAAGCTTTAGATCGATCTCACCTTTCTTCTGCAGGATTCCTGCCTTGTTAATCAGATGAGTCCAGCAAAACAAAAAGCCTGTTGTCTCTGAGTAAACTTCAGATTGGAACTCAAAGAAACATGTTAGGAAATAATTTTCATACACTGATGAAACACGCATAAATGAGAGTTCCCTGTAATTACCATCAGGAAAGGCTTTTTAGCAGGAAGAATTTTCGTTCACTCATAGTATTTTTAAGATACACTAGTATCATTCACTTTATTTCATTAAAAAAGTGAACAACCAAATATGGATAACTGTTAATGATCAGAGAGAATTTTTGTAAAAATATAAATTTCCTGTAAAAGTAGTATCTTAAATGAAACTGATATACCTGAAACCTAAAACACTGAGGCATACTAATAGTGCCTCAAATAACAATCTGGGCAGTGGAGCAAGCTGGAAAATCAGAATAATCAGAAAGGGGAATGTGTCAGTCAACAATAGAGACCACTATAGGAAGGACTCGAAAAAGTTTAATATAAATATATTCGCCAGATTAGTGTAATTATTAACTATTGTATTTCCTTTTCATAGTGGGGACAACTGTGATAATTTTTAAATTCAGGATATGGAAAACTAGACCCTTTTGATGTACAGATCTTCATTATGAAGTTTAAAAATGTATAGACTTAGGTTGAAGGGGTACAGGGAGTTCAATGAAATGCGGAAGATGAATATTAGTACTTTGTTACTGTTACGATGTGGCAACAAAACATTTGAAAACTTGAAACTATACCTAAAAATATACAACCTCATAAACCAATATTATCACAAAATTAATTAAGAAAAATATACACAAACATATATTATATATATATTAACCACTGTACCCAAATTTATGCTACTCCTTTATAGTTTTTTTTTCCCTTCTCTAAACTCTGGCAACCACTCGTCTATTCCTAATTACTATAGTTTGACCTTTTACAGAATATTATAGAAATAAAATCTATTATATGTCATATTTAGAGACAGACTTCTGAGCATAATGCCCTGGAAATTTGTTTAAGTTGTTTCAAATATCAATATTTTATTCTGTTCTTTTTTGCTGAATAGTATTCTATTATATGAATGTTTCAGTTTATTTATCTGCATGCCCTTTAACTGGCATCTGGCTTGTTCCCTGTTTGAATAATTATTAAAAGGGTGATACAAACATGTTTATAGATTTAGGGGGTTTTTGCTTCTTGAACTGTTAAGAGTAAATCCTTCTCTGTGTTAGAGTAAACCCTTCTCTGACCTAGAGCAGACTTCAGTGCCTTTTTCTTCAATATACCAACATTACCAATAAATTACATGTGAGTCTACAATGTTTTAAACTTGTCACTCATTTTGTTGAAAGCCCTGGATGACAATTCTACCATCCTCAAAGTAAGTCCTACTCTTCTCATCCTGAGAAGTTTCATCAAAAGTGAGTCTCACAGCGCATACATATAGATTCATTCACTTCTCTGCCCCATCCAAAAGAAACTTTCATACAATACACCCCAAGTGTTACTTTCCCTTTATCTTTGCATGTAATTTTCTTTCTCCTGATTGTCTTCCTCTTATTCCTAGGTTCTCTTACAAGTCCAGTCTTCATCACTTCTCCTCTGAAACCCCTCAAGTTGAAAGTGTTTTCTCTCTCCTCTGTCATTTTTATAATTAGTATCCCTACTTGTTGCATTTTGCAAAGGTTACCTTGTACTTCTCTCCTTTTCTATGTGTCTGAGGGGATAGGGAGAAGTGGAAGAGGAAGGTAGGTAGCATTTTACCACTGAAGCTTTTATACATGACTTTCTATCTAAATATTTTTTCTATTTTACCTTTACAAGTTACTTTTGTATTATTTTTATTTCAAGAGTCTACATTCAGCAATTTCTCCAGCATATTCTTCATTGTTGTAGCAAAGCTCATTCTATAGAAAAGCTTGAGATGACTACTCTTTTCCATTATTTCTCTCACATGCTTTATGTGTTGAACCTATACCTCCCAACTTGGCAAAATCTGACCCAGAGTCAAAGGTTTGTCTGTATAGCATGGACTCAAGTGGGACCATCTTATTTGACCCTTCAGAGTGTGAGCTTTTCCAACACAGTGCACCACTTTGTTCCACTGAACAGAAATCACTCATGTTTTAATATGAATAATGCATAAAGAACCTGTATTACTTTCCACTAAGATTGTATCTATTCCAAATAGCAAACTCTTCTAACATCTTTCCTGTTAATACATATTCCCAGTATTTGGAAATTGGGCATGGATACATTTCAAGTATTCAACAACTGATCTGAATGGCTACTCAGATTAGATAATTTGTTATCATAATTTGTCATTTCAACTGTTCCCATACTGTATATATTGGTCACATAAATAGGAATCTCTGAGTTGATCTGCTTTTGCTTTGTTTGTTTTTGTTTTGAGATCAGTGCTGTGATCAGTGCTTACTCTTGGTTCTGTGCTTAAGGATCATTTTTGGTGGATTCATGAGACCACATAGAGTGCCAGGGATCAAACCTGAGTTGCTCACATGTAAAGCAAGCACCCTACCCACTGTACAATCTCTCTGGCTCACACGTGCAAAGCATGCACCTCTGAGCTCTGTGCTATCTCCCTAGCATTTGAAATGTCTGCTTCAGGTATTGATGGTAGAAGAAGATGCCATTGTGAGCTTTGCTCTTTATGTGCGCCATCTGTAGAAACAATACCACTATTAGGACATTCTAAAGAACTGATTATGCAATAAAGTGAAATAACAATTAAAATCTTTGGGTTTATAATAAGCCTTAACTACTCTCAGTAAAACTTATTACCTTAGAGGTAAAATTTTTCTCTTACCAGTATGTAATCTTGTATAAATTCTTTTAGTCTTAATTTAGTCACCTATCTAGAGGGCATAATCCTTCCCTCAGAATTGTGTATCAGAATTAAAGAAATTAAACATATGAAAAAATGATGCTTTCTATCACCTCTAGACCAGTATAAAAAAGTAATATGATGTGAGAGAGTGTACAGAGTTTAAGGTGCCTGTCTTGCATGAAGCCAACTTTATTTCAATCCCCAGCACCAGATATGGCCTCCCAAGTACCACTTTGATGACTCTTAATCACCCAAGAGTGATCCCTCTCCACAAAGCCAGGAGTAAACCCTAAGAACCATTGTATTGACTCAAAACCTAAAAAAATAAAAGAACATGAGCTCTCCAAATATTCTTTTATTTTTGATGCAGCAATGTGATGACTAATCCAAATTTCTGAGAAGCTTGTGGCATAGCCTCTCTATCCCCATGTCTCATAAAGTTTCAAATGTAAACCTTTATAGTGGTACGTTGCTGATATTTTAGAGTTTTTAGCTACACAAACATAAACTTAACCTATCCTGACAAATACAAAAATGATCCTCAAACTTAAGCAACAGAATATTTGATAAGCTTGTAAAAATATGCACCACATGTGATAAAACTATATTGAGGAAAGGTAATAATAGGAATAATAGAGAGAAGTACACAATTACTATTTCTATAGGGCAATACTTAGTGACACTCCTTAAGATTAAGATCATTCGTGGTTATACTAACATTACCAAACTTGACAGTTTATTGGGGTGCTCAATTATTATATCACAAGGTCAATAAATAATGATTAAAGTTAAGGAGTCAAAAATGTCAGTTGCAAGTCCCATATCTAACTGACTTGATCTGGAATAAACAAGAAGTCATTACAAATCAACAATAAAGACAACCAGCTACATTTTAAAAATGAATAAGTGATTTGAATACAGTAGTACCTTCTTATCTACTGTTCCTCTATTCACAATTTCAGTTCCCTGTAGAAAACCATGTACAATAAGGTATTTTGACAGCCACCACATTGCTATAAATGCTCTATTTTATTATCATTGTTGTTCACCTCCTAATGTTCTTAATTTATAAATTAAACTTAATCACAGATATAAATGTATAAGTGAAACAGAATAATAGATTTTGGTACTATCCAAGACTTCAAGACATCCTTTGGGGGTCTTGGTTAGTATCTCTCACAAATAATGGGGCACTGCTGCACGCATTTTCCCAAATATATCACAAATGGACAATAAACACAAGAAAAGATGTTTAACATCACCATCCATTCAAGAAAAATAAATTAAATTCCTCTGGGATTCCACTTCATACCTAGAAAGATGGTTATAATAAATATATAGGCAATGACAATTGTTAACAAGGATATGAAAAAATTGCAACTTTTGATCACTGCTGATGGGATCTTCAATCACAGCTACTTTGAAAAAGTTTGGCACT